CCCGTGCTTGGTATGCGCGACTTAGGTCGGAGTTAGAAGCTATGAATTTCACCGTGTCTCAAGCTGATCCGGGATTGTTTTACCGGGATGTTCTAGGAGAGCGCGTATATTTGCTGGTCTATGTGGATGACCTCCTAATTGCTGCGAAGGATATTAACATCGTACGTCAGTTGAAAGATAAGTTGAAATCCATCTTTGATGTGCGTGACTTAGGGGAGGCCCGTGTGTTTTTGGGTTTTGAGATTGAGCGTAATCGGGCCGAGCGTACGATGAAGGTATCACAGAAGAGGTACGCCAAGGGGCTAGTTGAGAAGTACGGGCTGGAAGATGCCAACGGGCGTGCTGTGCCTTTGTCGCACGGCACTACCTTGCGTTCAGCTGGCCAACCACTTGATGTACAGCAATTCCGGTTTGGAGAGCTTATTGGGAGTCTGCTATATTTGTCGGTGGGCACTAGGCCTGATATTGCATATTCCGTGGGAGCTCTTGCCCGTCACATGTCCAAGCCTACGGTGGAGCATTGGCAGGCGGCGAAAGGGGTTGTTCGTTATATTGCTGGTACGGCTGGTCTGGGTATTGTCTTTTCTCCGAAGTCGAGTAATCCATCTTTGCATGGGTACTGCGATTCGGACTATGCAGCATGCGTAGATACGCGTCGTTCAACTACCGGCTACGTGTTTTTGAATGCTGGTGGAGCTGTTAGTTGGTCAAGTCGTTTGCAGCCTACCGTGGCTACGTCAACCGCGGAGGCAGAGTATATGGCGAGTGGAGCGGCAACTAAGGAGGCTTTGTGGTACCGTCACTTGGCACGTGATTTACAGATGCGGGTGTCTTCGGTACCTATCTTGTGCGATAGTCAGGCGGCAATCAAGATCATCAACAATCCGATTTCGTCCGCTAGGTCAAAGCACATCGACGTGCTTCACCATTTCGTTCGCGAGCGTGTAGCGCGGGGTGAGATCGTGTTTTCCTACTGCAAGTCGGCGGACATGGTCGCTGATTGTCTGACGAAGCCTTTGCCTCTTCCTCAGTTCAAGAAGTGCATCCAGGCGATGGGTCTGCGTTGAGAAGTTTGTCTTTGGAGCTTCAGTTCCCAGAGGTCTGCCCGCGTGGGAGTGTTGTAGAACTAAGTTTGTGGCGGTCAGCTCTCTGGACGAACTGGTTTCCGTATCATGCCGTGCAGATCGCACGGGCATCTCTAGGGCACCTTGCCCTATATTAGCTTTCGCTTATCTGTCTAACTTGTAACACAACGATGTGCTACGGTTGTATGCATTACGTGCTAAGCAACGGCATAGTTACCATTTACAACAGACATCCACTTAGTGGAACCAAGAGTCTCACTCCAAGAGTGGGCACAGAAGGGCCTCCTAAGGTGCGCGCCCACATGTGCACACACACGTATTTTTGGCAACTAATGTAATGTAATGTAATGTTACAGAGTGGGGGGCTTCTGGGCCGCTTTATCACATTGTCAGTTCTACGATGTATCATCTTATAGCACCGTCCACCACTACCACACTATACTTCGCCATACGAACTGTAAGTCCAAGGCGGCGGGTCCAGCCGTCTAGGACCCCTCCTCATCCATTCACCCGAACAACCGAAGAGACGGAGGGTTCGGCAATCGCCACCAATCTAGCGTGCGAATCTGGTCCATCAACTGCGACCTCAACTCCACATTTCAGCAGCTAGCCATAATCTCGCGCTCCCGACTAATTCGGGGGTCTCCCCAGGAATCGAACCCAGGACCTTAAACCGCGAATCGCAGTAGTGTCAACCCAGACCAGACTAATGACCATTATATAAACAAATATTTCAAAGAAATCTCCGATAGCCCCAATCATTTTCAACATCCTGAATGTTAAGGAAAATGTTGTGATAGTTGGTTTCTGGATAGGGTGGAGCCATCTTCCGTACTTGCTGATCGACTGTCGAACTCGATCAATTAATAGGAGTGTTTATCTTTGGTCTGGTATGTAGAGGTATGTTGACATTCGGCCAGAACACTGACAGCTGTACGACAGATAAGATGGAATGTTTGGTATAAAGGAGATGATGTTCTGACTGAAAGGTTGTTCTGTGATACCTGTAACGGTTAAGGTTGGCTTTACCTACACAGTTCCACTCGCCTATATCTTAACAGGTTATGAGCCCCACGCCGAACTTGCTGGCTTAGCAAATCTCTGGCTTAGAGATATGACAAGTATGGGGAAGGATAACAATGTAGAGCGCTTAGACAGCTACGCCAATTATTTTCGCTGGTGAACGGCCATGAAGTACTGCCTGGCAGGCAAGGACTTGTGGGACGAAGCAGCAGACCTGCCGAGCGCCGTCGCCGAGAAGTCTATGAAGGCGAAATCTCAATTGGTTAAATACATGGTGCCCCGTTTTCAAAGGCTGATCGATCAAGCAGCCGATTCTGCCGCAGCGTGGGATGCGATCCACACCGAATGCATCTCCGAGATCGGAGCAAACATTCTATTTATAAAACAAAAATTCAATAACCTAAAGCAACGGACTGGCCAGTCCGTTGTTGATTACTTCGAGGAAGCAGAAGATCTACTAGTGGGTTCGAAGATCGATGACTGCCAATTCACCCTGGCCATCTTGGGCGGTTTGCATAAGAAATTCCAAATGCAGCAGATGCTTTTTGCTGCCAAGCCGCTGAGCGACCTGAAGCTTTTAGAAATGAAGGCCGCTCTACTCCTGGCGGAGCGGATGCAAGTTGACAACAATGCAGAGTGGGCCCAGGTCGAGGCCCTGGCGTTCAGCAACCGGAGCAGTGGGGTTGGCCACCGTGGCATCGGTGGCGACTACCGTAGTGGAGCTGGTAAGGGTCAGGGAAACGTCAACGTCGGGGCGAGTACCAGCTCTGGTGGGCCTGATGTTTCCATTAACCCCTATGCAACCCATAAGTGCCATAAGTGTGGCGTCCTCGGCACATCAAGTCCCAGTGCCCGCTCATCACAAGGGGCAACAACAAGGGCAACAACAGACACAGCAAGCAGCTGGTAATGGCCCTAACCACCTCCACCACCTCTGAAGCCGAGGAAATCCAGGCAACAGCTGAGAAGTCGCTCGCCAAGCTGGCATGGAAAATGGACTCGGCAGTGGCCGTCCATGTTACGGACGACCAGTCCGACTTCAGCGACTACGTACCGCTCACGGACAGCATAGTCCTAGAAGGTGTGGCGGGTGCGATTTGCAAGACGGTTGGAGTGGGTACCGTCCTGCTAGAAGCAGAGGGAGAGAATGGCAAGATTAAGATTACCCTAAAGAAGGTGTATCATGCGCCGGAATTAGGTCACAAACTGATTTCAGTAGGCGAACTAGGTCTGAAGGGTTACCATGTGGATTTTCGTGGACCGGTTGCTGTGATTAGGCAGCCGAAACGTCTTGTCAGCTGATGCCCAGGAAACCCTCTAATATTTTCTCCACAAATGAGGAAATATGCAAGCCTGGAGTGGGAGTACGGGGAGCAAATCCCGTGTGTGTGGGTGGGCACCCATTACTACCTAAAGGCGACCCGGTTGGGCCAGGGGGAGTGCATTCAAACCCTGGCGGTCTTGTCCGAATCTGCGGGGCTTTGGCATCATCGGTTCGGACACATAGGGTACGGTAATTTAGAGAAGCTCGTGTCTGATGAAATGGTCACTGGTATGGGCCTGAGTGCAGTGGAAGTCCGGGAGAAGGTGAAGGAGAAGAGTATCTGTGAGCTGTGTGTGAAGGCCAAGCATACCCGCGCGTCTTTTCCTCCGTCTGGGAATGCAGCAAACCGTGTTTTGCAGCGAGTGCATATGGATGTGTGTGAGATGCCTGTTCCGTCTATGGGCGGGTCAAGGTATGTCATCACGTTTCTGGATGAGCATTCGAGTTTGCAATGGTGTGCTGTGTAGGGACGAAGGGAGAAGTTCCGGAAGTGGCCCAGGAAGTATTGCAGCTGTTAGAGACCCAATCGGGCAAGAAGCTGCTAGCAGTTCAGTTGGATCGCGGTGGGGAGTACCTGAATAAGGCTCTAAGACAATACCTTAAGGGTAAGCGGGTCCAGCACGACACGTCCGTGCCTTACACTCCTGAGCAAAATGGCCATGCTGAGAGGCTGAACCGCACACTCCTGGAGAAGACCCGCGCGATGTTGCAAGACTCAGGATTGCCGCATGAATTATGGGCCAAAGCTATTACCACCACATGTGTCCTGCATAATCGTTCGCCTGTGTCGGGCAAGCAGATAACGCCCTTTGAAGTTTTCCACCATGTGAAGCCAGATGTCTCTGATTTGCGCGTGTTTGGGTGTACTGTGTGGGTGCATGTCGAGAGGAGGCATCACAATAAGCTCGATGCAACGAGCCAGAAGGGTGTGTTGGTGGGCTACGAATGCAACTGCAAAGGATACCGGATTTTATTGGACGGGTCTAAGTGTATCGTAGTAAGAGCGTGAGTTTTGAGGAGACGCCAACGTCCCACACGCTGCCTGCGGATGATAGCGAAAGCAGCGACAGCGGAAGTGATAGTGATGATGAGGACGATGTGGCTAGCAGTAGTTGCAAGACTGCAGCCCCTCCCCGGCAGGGGGAGCAGCTTAGTCCGAGCGAGGCCGTAGAGGATAGTCAAGGGAACGCGGCAAATGGTGATTCAGCTGAGTTCAATGAGGGGGAGCCTATGGTAGTTGGCACAGCACCTGAGGCACCTGAGGAGGAACCTACACTCTGGGAACCTGGAACCTTCATTCTATATGCGATTCACACTCGTTTCATACCTTAATGAAGACCCTTCATACCTTCATGAAGGACCCTTCATTCAACACCAAATCGAGGGCCCCGGGTCAATTTAGAATGAGGACCACTTCATTACATAATGAAGGTAGCTCAGAATGAACGTCCCTTACGCTTTGAATACCCCTTCTGTCCAAAATGAAGGTGGTCTCCATAAAACGAGCCCATGTCCATCACGTGATATGAAGGCCCCTTTCAGTCCAAAAAGAAGCCGTCTCCATAAAATGAAAGTTGTATATCACGTGATATGAAGGCCACTTTCAGTCCAAAATGAAGCCGTCTCCATAAAATGAAACTTGTACATCACGTGATATGAATGCCCCTATCAGTCCAAAATTAAGCTTTTTAATAATGTCCATCGCGCCATATGGACACGCCTCCAATCCTAACTAGGAAGGCGTGTTCTTATCACATGATGAACAGCGTCTTGATACGGATTTGCTTATAAGCCAAGCCGTCTCAAGACCCTGTCCACCATGTGATAAGAACATGCCTTCAGCCCTAAGAAAAGGCACCTCCACAAAAGAAGACAATGCAGCTGTCCATCACATTGCATGTGCATCCACCCCAAAATAAACGTGCATCCATTACCACCGTCGTTTCTTGCCCCCCTTCCCCTTCGCCTTTGTTTCCATGATCCGCTTCAGTCAAGACGACATCAGGTCCAGAACGGCTGCGCTTTGAGGTGGCCTTTGCTGTCATCATGGCTGTTGCAATCTCCACCGCCCACATCTGTCGCCCACTGCTTCACCATGTCCAAGGTGGTTGACTGCAACAGCAGCGGGACATGTGTCAGTCAGTTAGTTATAGACGTATAGGCTTAGTGGAGTAAAAATGGACAGGTTGCTATACTGAAGCACACAATTAACACGATGTCGCAAAACCATGCATTCTTGGTGAGCACCCAACCAGCCTATTTGTAACCCTGACATGAAACCAACACAAATTTTGACAGGAACTCACTTTCTGATTTGCTGCTAGGTGATCTGGTCCAGCGCTCGACATCCATTGGTCATGGGGTCCGGCTGCTGCTTGAAACAGCTTCAAGACACTGCTCTGCCTCCTCGACACTCAAGAGCT